ATTTGAAATCAGCGTTATGATACAGTGAAAACGGAGAGCGAGCTTTGCCCATCATTGCATCCTCCTAAAGCACTCCTGTTTTCCTTCTTCCTTTTTCGGTGGCGGCTGGAGGTGTGTGTTTGGAAGGGGGAACTATCTGGGTTCAGGCATGAAGAACATTGAGAAGGAATCAGGGTAGGACCCCTGGCCTGTGGGTAGAGGCCAGTGACTGAGACTCTCCTTGGAGGAGGGGGCTATTAGTCCCGAAGCCGCCCATTCCAGGGCTTGGAGATTCGGGCTTGGAGATTCAGCCCTGGCGCCCCCTTCTTTCTCTGTCTGCCCTTAGCCTCTCCATGACCCCCTAACAGAGGCTCCTTGGTGAGCCCGGAGCCTCCACCGACCACTGGTGTGAAGGGCACGAAGATCTTGCTACACAGAGTAGGACTGGGAGGGGCGTGCGAATAGTTGCAGAGTCAGGGAGGGGACCTCACCACCTGTCTCCTCCCTGAGGTCTTAGAACAGGTGCAATTTTGCAGGCGGAGGTCCTACAGATGAGCGCGTGCCTGCTGCGCAGGGAGGGCCCCGCGGGCAGGGCTGCAGCGCTGGGAGCTTCTGCTCTAGGTGCCCCCAAGCAGGGCCGGAGCCTCGCCCCGGCAGAACCTGGGCCCTGAGGGTGAGAGCCCCAAGAGAACGCGTCACCCCAGGTGTGCTCTCCACGGTCCACTGGGGGCCAGGGCCTTCTTCGGGTGGGCCCGCCGCCCCTCCCGCAGAGCTCAGTCCGGAGCCGGGGAGAGAGGCTGGGCGAGCTCTCCGTCCGCACCGTCTCGCGGGGCTCCAGGGCGGGGGGAGGTGCTCCCGAGTCGGCCCCGGCCCCGCCCCCAAGGCCCCGCCCCGAGCCCGCCTCCCCGGCCGCCCCTCGGGCGAAGCCAGCCGCGCACGGCCAGTCGCGGCCCGGAGCTGCGGAGCTCGGATCGTTTCCCCGCCCGACCCTCTCTCGCCCCGCGCACCCCACTGGGTGATGGAGCCGGACCCCGAAGCGCAAGAGGCGCGCACCGTGCGCGAGGCGCTGGGCCGCTACGAGGCGGCGCTGGAGGGCGCGGTGCGCGCGCTGCACGAGGACATGCAGGGGCTGCAGCGCGGCGTGGAGCGGCGGGTGGCGGAGGCGCTGCGCCTGGCCGGCCCCCTGGCCCGCACGGTGGCCGAGCTGCAGCGGGACAACCAGCGGCTGCAGGCGCAGCTCGAGCGCCTGACGCGCCAGGTGGAGGCGCTGGGCTTCGCTAGCGGGATGTCCCCGGCGCCCGGCACCCCGGGCACCCCCGGCACGCCCAGTCCCCCGCCCGCGCCCGGGGTCCCGGACCGCGCGCCCCGCCTGGGCAGCGCGCGCTTCGCCAGCCACGCCACCTTCTCGCTGTCCGGCCGCGGCCAGGTGAGCCCTGGGGAGCTCGCGCGCTGGCACGGGGGAGTGGGGCTCCGAACCGGCTGCCGCCCCCTTCGCCCGACCGCCTGCGTCCGCGTGTCTTAGGGGCTAGGGCCTATCACCAGCCACTCGGAATAGGCGATGGGGTCCTGCCGCCCCTCCGGAGTTGGAGAGGGCAGGGGGAGGACCGCTTAGCCTGACCACTGCACCTGTCTTGGGCCCTCGCCCTTTTTTGGAGCGAGGCTCTGTTTGCTCTGAGTCCCGTCTCCCTCGCTCCTCTGTCCCATGACACCAAGGGCCTGGGCGCCAAGGTCCAGATCCCGACTGTTCAGCACTGCCTGGGGCTGCGCGGGGCGTGTTGGAATGGTCACCACCCCTGCCTGCCCCCACCCTCCATTCACGCGCCCATGCATTGCCGCTTCACTGAGGCCTGACGGCTCTGATTATTGATTAACCCAGATTGAGAACTCAGGCCCCTGGATGGGTGGGGAGGGGGGCCGAGGGGCAGCGGCATTCCCAAACGATCATCAGCAGCGTTTGGGAACCCTGCATCCCGGGGTGGGGGTTGGCGGGTTGAAAATCCCTTTCCGTGAAGGGAGAGAGGTGGGAACCAGCCTCCAGCGGAGTCTAGATTCCTGGGGTCAGTGACTGGCCAGAACCCCACGTCATGTGGGGATGGGGCAGAGGCCAACGGGGACCTGTCACTACTTCCCTCGTGGGCCACCCAGGGCGGTTAGAATGTTTCCAGTGTTTCCATGGCGTGTGCAGTGACCCTTGGGTGGGATTTTCCATCCTGATCAGGCATGTGCTCTGGGGTTGGGTTCCCAGGGTCTGCACTGTGTAACCCGCACCTGCTCCCTCCTTGGTCCGATCCATGGGGCACTCAGATTTCTGCTGTGGGCTGGGCTGGACCTCAGGGGGCCTGGAGGAGCGTATCAGATTGGGCCTTCCCCCTGGAGGTCCCAGCCAGGGTGGGAGGTGGCCCCAGGCCAAGTTTGGGCAGCCGGAGGTGTTCTGCTCCAGACACTAACACTAGTTAGTCCCTTCTCATCCGGTTTCCCAGCAAGGGAAACGGGGGCTGCTAGGGGCCCAGGGGTTGCTGCCGCAGGTGCAGATGGGGGTGGGGCGGTGCATTAAGCCTCAGAAACGCTGAAAGGACTTATTGGCGACAGTGCTACCTCAAGGCATGTGAGTGGGGTGGGGAGTGGCGAATGCTGTGCTGTATGGGGCAGAGGAACTGGGCTTTGTCCAGCCTGTGCGAGGTTCTGATGCGTGTCCTGGTGGCAGAGCCTGTGGGTGTCTCAGTGCTCCGTGTGAAGTGTCTGGAAATGTGGATACACTTAGGCCTGGCTTCTGAACATGACACTCTACATGACTGTGGCATAAAATCACCGCTGTGAGCTCACGCGCGCCTCGTCGGCTGTGTCATCGTTGTTTCTGAGGTTTGATTTTAACATGCATTTGCTATTTGCCTGCTCATAGGAGCAGCTGTCCAAATTTTAAGAAAAATAATGTCAGAGTCACATATACATGTAAATTTGTGTGTGTGTATGGGTGTGCACGAGCACACACATACACACACACACACATACACACACACGGGGGGTGAGGATTCTCTCTAGTTGTGACTTTTGTCAGTGGAAATTAGCCATTGTTCACTGGCACCAAGCTGGTCCTCTGGCTTAGGGGTTGGTGGGTGAGGCTCAGGATGAGGGTCTTTGTGTCTGGCAAGCCCTCTTAGGGGTGGATGGAAGGTGGACGGTGGCTGGAGATGGTAACTTAATTGTGACGGTCCAAGGAGAAAGGAAGGGTCTGAGCTGGGGCATGGGCCATGGTGTCTAGAGGAGCTGCCTTGGGCAGGTGTTTCAGAGGGGAGTGAGCAGATGGGGTAGTCTCAGAGGGGAGCCCTGGCTTGGGGGACTGCTGGGCCACAGATCTGCGTGGAGATGCTGGGTTCCACCCAGGCTGTGCTAAACGTGAGGGTCTATGGGAAACCAGGTGAAGCTGTCTCAGAGCAGGTGGATGCTGGATCTGGTGCTCCAGAGAGCGGGCAAGGCTGGAGATGTGGGAGCTCTCTGGGCCAAGGCAGAAGAGTTCGAAGGAAATAAAAAATAGACTGGGGAACGGCCAGGGAGTGAGGAGGGCCTCAGAGCCCATTCTTAGCAAACCAGAGAGAAAGCCCTCCCGAAAGAAGAGGCTGGGGTCAGCGGGGATGCATCACCCTGCTGGGGAGAGAGGCTGGAGACCCAGGCACCCAGGGGACGCATCAGTCTTTTGGGGGTGAGGATGGAGACCGAGGCAGCCAGCGGACGCATCAGTCTTTTGGGGGTGAGGATGGAGACCGAGGCACCCAGGGGACGCATCAGTCTTTTGGGGGTGAGGATGGGGACCCAGGCAGCCAGGGGACGCATCAGTCTTTTGGGGGTGAGGATGG